TGTCGATTTCAGACCAACCGAATGGAAAATAAAAAGGTAATCAATATTCCTCGGCCGTTACGAGAGCTTTTCATTTAGGCTTTCGAGAAGCCTAGATCGCATGAAGCTGATCGAGCATGGTTTCGATATATTCATAAACTACCAACCTGACTTGAAATCATCTGATATGATATTTCTTCATATGCATGAGGTAAACCAGAAATCAACCGTTACTTATCAGAACTTAATTTTTCATATGCTGATACATCACGCTGTCGGCCACCTTAATGCATTGTCATTTTTTACCAGTCTTGATGCAAGCAATTCTCTCGAATACTCCTTCTAAGCTTTCTCCCAACACAGTCGGTCTCTTGATGCTCCTCGTGATTCAAATCGACGATTAAGAGGGAGGGACGTTGACAAATTTCCTCTTATTTCTGACTCTCTACCTCCAACAATATTTACGATCTACAATCTACTCAGCATTTTCGTTTACAAAACCCTTTATGTTGTTTTTCATAATTGAAAAATCATATATCGCATGTCAGTCTAAATCTGTCAGTTCCACATTTGCTCGATGTTCTGAACTAATCCTTTGGGAATGTAAAAAAGATGACTGTCACACGTGATGTATGATGTGCATGCTCAATACTTGTTGTTATTACTCGCATGAAATGCTCTTATTGTTGTTTGTTTCCTATTCTCAATCAGTTTGGCCGCTCCGCTTCTCCCCCCGTCCCCCTCCAGGCAGCCGCCCTCGATTCTATTACACGCAATATCTGATTCATGAGTGTTTATGAGTGTCATCAAACCCTGTCTTCACCAAATCATTCATGATCCTCCTCATTTCCCTCCTCTGTCTTTTTATTCCACAGTTGCAATCAGTGCGGTTCTTGGTTTCGTTGTCTGCCTCCTTATCGTCCTCTTGATTGTGTACAGTTTGCGACACAAGTAAGTATTGCGGGCTTCGGTTTTGCGGAGTTCTCGATTGTTTGCCACTTTAATTCTGCCTTGATCTCTGCACGCTTATGCGTATCGCATGACTGAACATTATTTCATATAGATTATTCTAATTCTGAATTATTCTGATTGAGTAATGAACGCAGAAGCGATGTTTGCCATTTGACAGAGGCACTTCAGGTTGGACATCGTTTTACACAAAGGAGCAGTTTAATTTATTAACCATTACAATTACCATGCATCCCATCCCCTTTAGGAATTTCACAGGAACAAGAACATGCATTATCACCGGACAGGTTCAATTCAACTGTTTCGCATTAGCTCTTCAGCTGTGTGCACAAACATTCATATGGAAGTTCGATCAGAACAATGGCAAATATTTAAACAACAAAACTTGAAAGCAATTTTGAGCCAGCCATTCAGTCTGTTCTTCAATTCATCCGTTTTTCTGTCTGCCCTTCATGTTGGTTATCTATCCGTCTGTTGACAAGCTAGCAGTTAATGTGAAAACTAAGTAATGCTACTTCAAATGCCTCCTAACCCGGATTCAACTCGGTTATTTATTGATTATTTATGATCGAGGTGTCAGTGTTTTAGGTAAATTAAACAACAAACCATCTTAAAGGTGGGATTTTCATCGCATATATATATATATATATTTCACACACGTCTGATGCCATACTGTGTGCCAAACAAATCGTGGCACAATAATCCTTATAAAAAGAAAAACGCCCCACGATTTGCATGTGGGCCAAATACTGCCAGGTTGCCCAGGAAAAGGTAGGTGAATTTTCATGGGGAATCCACAGCCGGAGCCTTCGGCTAGCCAAAGCCTGACCAGCACGGCAGCGAGGCATTGTGCGAAAACCACAAATCATTGGGAGCCGTTGCCCAGTTCATCGGATTATTCACCCTTTGGACGGGGTCAAACATCCAAGGTGCCCAATACACCTCGATGCCCAATCGAGCCGGTGACCATTGCCACAACCGGAAATGTGTGGGTATTGTTCGTCGTTCATCGCATTTAATCCTCTCAATGCATAGTACTTCGAGTAGCATTCACAAGATTGAATATGATATTGCCCCACATCAGAAGCAACATAGTCGTAATAATATCCACTTATGTCTCTGCTTTTGTTAGTCGAATTCCAATAGAATGTACGATTTCTTGATTTCAACGATGACTGCTGGTCCATCAGTTGTAATATAACGAAGTCCCAATGAAAAAATCAACCGGAATCGGTTTACAAAAACGACATATAGGTACGATTGTACCTTCATTTTGTCAATGTTCTATTTGCTCTTATCTGTTTTCGAGCATTGGAACCAGTCGTTTTTCCATGGAATCCACCAAATTGACTGTCAAACATAATTTACTAGTTTCCTCTAATATGTGTCGAACCCTGGTCACTGGCGACCATTTTGGCGGTAGGTAGCTGATCCCTATTTCTAACACAGGAAAGCTTGCGATTGCATTGAAATCCCAACTGCTTGGTGGTAATTGGATGAATTTGACTTGGTACTTGACTCATCCAGAAACTACATAAACGTGAAAAAAGTACGACATTGAATGAAGTTTAAATGTTTTCTACAACCAACCTTGAGCGAGATGCCATGCTAATCATTATCTGTAAAACATATGACTTCCGCGAATGCGTTTCAAGGGTGACAGCTATCAAACACCTGCCTCGTTAGTGCAAACAATATCCCGCTATCCGGACGGAATACGGGATACCAACAACTTTGCACTCACTATCCGTTTCCCTTCCAATTCATCAGGCGAGATAGATGTAAACTAATTTTGACCGGGGAAATGAAATTTGTAAAAATAGGTTAACAGATCATCTTTCTCATTTCTCATTCATTACCAGCTCCAAATGGATGGGCGACGCGCTTGAAATTTGTTGGTAAAATCAGTACGTGTTCTCCTTTGTGTTGGGTGTTCAATCACGGGTTCATGTCAGGTAACCTCACCTTCCCTCCGAATTGAGTCAGCCTTTTCCAAACGGTGGCATGATAAAATTGCGGTTAATCCACCCGGACTATCTTTCATATCAGTTGTTTGCAAGTTTTCTCAGCTGCGATAAAATTCAACCGTCGTCTTGATTCAATGTGATCGGTTTTCTCTCTCTTGGCTTATGTCTTGATGGAGAAATTCGGTTGATTGTACAACAAATTCGGCTTATGTTCACATTGAAACGCTTGCACAAGTCAGGAACTGAGTCACTGGATTTCGAACACCACTCGAATAAGTTGCCTCTCGGCTTCAGCTGTATGCCTAAATCTCTTGGATATTCTATTCGGTTTGGGTGTGGTGGCACCACAAAACGCTTATTCAACGAGCCGCATACCTCAAGGTCAACTTTTGGTGGTCATTGTTTAGGTTTCTTAGAATATATCTTTAATCCGTTTAGGCTCTAAACTACTCACCCCTTATAATTTACCAATTCTTTTAACTTAAAAGATTCTCATTATTCGGCTTACTAAGTTTGCACCGAATGAAAAAAGATAAACACTATGGATTATTTGTATTGACCAGAATAAACATCCTCATGAAACAGCAATCATCTATTGCTTTGAATGAAATATTGCATTCTGAGCTGTAGCTTTCTAACTAGTACAAATTTTACCACGACTCTCAAGGTCACGCAATGCAACCGTCGATAAGCGCGACCGAAGAACATTGCAGTGGGAGAAGAACGTCGGAATAAAAGCTCCATGTCTATCAATGTACATATATGAAATTGGAAACTAAAATGTATACTGCTCATTATAAAATCACTGAAAATCGACCATAGCGTCCAGTTGGCTGAGATTAGATGCTTCGAACCCCCACAACACCGGATACAGAATCCTCGCAGTGAGTTTTTTGAGTGTTGTTCGTCTCAAATTCATTCCTCAAGCTGCAAATTTGGTTTATATTGCATAATTCCCCTCGGGAGTTCAAGTGTAAGAATGACCAGGCAAAAGACTATCGGACACGCATACCTAACCAGCGGTAAAGACCGCGAAACTGATCGTGCGCTTCTGGGGAATTTCGTCCAGTCATTCATACACTACAAAAAGGAAAAAAACTAACAA